TACACTGATAAAAATTTAGATACTAAAATGCTTTTTTAAAACTATAGTTGTTTATTTTGATCGTTGAAAGATAAAAGTACATCCATTATTTGACTGCGATTCAGCTGTAGCTGGTTAGTGAAAATCTTTAGTAATCTTTATATTATTAAAGTGATACAATCAAATTTTATGTAAACTGTTAAGGCCATTTACCGAATAAAAATATAGGCATATGGCACATCTAAATGAAGCTTAGAGTATGTAGATTTGCCGAAAAGTATTGATATGGATGAATTTCTTAAGGGCTCTGCCCCACAGGCTGATTTCCAAAGGGCTACGCCAAAGGACATGCTTCTAAAGTTTAGATAATTGAATTTAATTTAGTTAATGAAACAGCTTATCAGTACAATGAACTGGTGTTTGTTCATTTACTCGAAAAAGATGTTTTTGGCGCTTTATGTAGATTGAGGAGGGTTATGTTTGGTTTTAAAGAAAGGTTGTATACGTTTTTTTAAGTATTGCTCAAAGTTTCATTTTGTATTTTTTTTTTTTTTATAAGCTACGTATAAAGAGGCTTGACTAAAATTTAAGAATTATGGTAAAACATGTCATTCATGAAGCATCAATATGAAGCAATTGTTGCTATTGCTACACTAAGGTATGTAGTCATGTTCTTTTGCATCTATTAACATTAAAAGTAGGGGTTTGAAAGTAAGTAGGTTTACACTTTTGTTAACGATTATTCGATATATCGTTGTTTCGATATATGTTGTTAAGGTTAACCTAACCTAACCAACCAAACGATATATCGAATTAAACAATCGAATGATCAATATTACTCATTCGTTTGTTTGTGCCAACAGATATGGAAGTGTACTCAAATCAGTTTATATTTTCATACTAAATCATAGAGTTGTTGTATTTTAAAACACACATCGGCACCACTTTAATAACTCTTTGGGTCACATTTTCTTCCCGTTGCAACGCACGGGTATAGCAGCTTGTACTTATTTAATACGCAAGCAGGTTTTTTGTGACAATTACTCCTCCGAAACTACAGAACCGATTTTCATGTTTTCGGTGTCATTGGAAATAGCGTAACGTGAAGTTTTGCAGGAAACTTTCTTTTTATGGAAATAATTTGAGAGTGAGGCTTTGGGGCCCTTTAAAGATTCGTATTTCTCCATAAGATTAACATGGGAAACAAACATTGTTATGAAACTCCAGCTGTTGACAGAAATTAAAAGTGAGAAGAAGAACATTTGCTAATTGTAAACAGTCAATGGGCGCGTTCTGAAAACATGTACCGGTGCACCGGTGCAGATTAACCGGTGACTTACTCAACGGTACCGCCCCGGGGCAAGAGTCTTGGTATCCCAGAACGGTTATTCGCCGGTTTACGGTACACATCGGATTATAATTTACACATTCGCCTATTATTTACTTTATAATATTTAAACCAAGCAAACTTGTACTCACAGAATAAATTATTTGAAAATTATTCACTTAATACGTACAATAACCCCCTCATAGAATAAATCATTCACTCATATGCAACATAACCTATAAAACTGATGAACATTATTTGATGGATCCGATTTTATGATACAATGGAATACAATTTATTTTCCAAATTATAATGTAAAGGTGTAATCTGTCATTTCAATATGAGTACTTAAGATAGAGGTACAATATGAGATAGGTTATCACTGGTGATAGACGAGTCCACCTCGTCAAGTGCTCCATTACCACGTGTAGTATCATAGACAAAAGGAGTATGGTAGTATGTTCGGCTTTGTGTTTAAATTCTAGAAATGGCGGGTGCACGTGATACGAGTGAAAGTTCCGAATCCCCTTTAACCATCGTTGAGAAATGTGTCGAGTGTCCGGTGTGTTTGGAAACTACAAAAGTTCCTTTTAAACAGTGCTCTAGAGGTCATATTGTATGTTTGTCATGTAACACCAAGATAAGTAAATGTCCAACATGTGAAGGGCCGTTCACACAAGAAAATTCAATTTGTATGAAAAATATACTGGAAGCTCTGCCTCGCCGGTGTATCTACAGTCAAGATGGATGTGACGAAATTGTGAAATCGGGTAATGATCATGAACAGTTCTGTGGATATAGACCAATTGTTTGTAAAATGTATGGTTGTCATGTTCAAATGCCAGTTGTGAAGGTATTGGATCATTACAAGGAACATCATAGGCACATTGATATCATTACCGAAAGATTTGTTGAAGATTGCCAATTAAAATATTGGTACACTCCAGTGCCGATATGGTTGTTTGACAGTTTATTTTGGGTTCTATGGGTTGTTGATCATAAACCAAACATAGATTTGGAAAAAATATACTTTCTGTCAACGCCAATTGGCAAGCTCGACCATGATTACTATGTTCGTGTTACAATAGAATATGGGGATTTTTTTGTAACGAACTCGCTGAAAGCTACACCTTTGGACGGAAAAATTACATTCACTGAGTTGGCGAGAAATGAAATGTCAGTTGAAAATGAAAGATTTTGTATGAGAACTTCAACCTGGCAAATAACCGATTGGGAATCGAAATCAAAGAAGAAACCAGTATTCAAATTTTCTTTCTTTAATGTGAAAAAAGATTGAAGGTATGCGATAGTTTTTAGTACATTTCAGGTTAGACCTATCATAAAGGAAATTCAGTCTTAATGATTAAATCAATTAATCATCACATTTTATAAGTGAAGCAAGGAGGAACTTAAGATGGAATCAAGTGTAAAATGAGACATTTAACAACTCATCTCCAGTTTAAGGAGCTTAGGGATATTATATGAACAATTATGATTTATTAATCGGCGTAGGTTATTTCTAAACATACAATTTATTACAAGATAAGAAGTAAAATAATAATTTTTGCCTTTGAGTTGTAGCAGCTATGATTTATTTTGCGTTTCAAGCTGCAATATTGAAGTTAGGATTTTGATTTACAGTTCTGTAGTAAACATTGCAAGTATGACCTTCTATGTAGACCAAAATATTATTTTATAAATTTTTCCATGATTATAAATAGGCCAATTGCAATCTAGGATCAAAAATATTTTTTTCAGATTTTCGCAAAATTATTTTTAAACATTATATCAAGAGTATGAATTTTAATTTAAAGACAACATTCCTCTACAGATGTTATAAATCAGTTTCAAGCTTACACACTGTAAGCTATTTTCTATGACAAGTTTTCATTATTTACAAAGGTCTACATATTTTACAGAAGATATTAATGATGCAATGTAGTAAATCTTTTGTATTATTGCTGGATGAATTAAAGGTTTATTTTGTGCAATTATTCATCATCTTATTTTTAACCATCCATTCCAGAAGCTTGTGGAATAAACAAATCTCAAACCTTAAGTTTAAATGCCATATGTTCAACACATCCCCCTAGCACTGAAGTCATATTTTTATGAATGTTTTCAAATTGAATCATAAAGTTTAAGTATTTTTAAACACGCATCAGCGCCATGAACTTGGTTGCATATTCCGCTTATCTGGCTTTAAAGATATGATATTTACTACACTAAGTTATAAGATTAAGTTTTGTTTCTAAAATGAATCATATATGTTTAACTATTCCATGACGCAGATCTGAAGAACATCATTATTCTCTTTCGCGCCCTCTTTCCGTTACAAAATATAGTTATATCAGCTTGTATTTTCTTAAAATGTTATTTCAATCGTATCAATACGTTCGTTAGCTTTGGTAAGATATATAACATGTGTGTTACGTTGAATTTACTTTACTATCACAGAAACTGATTAACGATTCACACAGGCTTAAAATAACAGTAATAGGAGTAATAGTATTGTTATAACGTTTACTAGATTTTACTGTATAACCTCAATTGTATGATAATGCGAAAGAAAACCAGACATGAGGAATTCATGTGAAATTAGTCATATCTGAGGGAAGAAAATTAAAAAGGTTTAAGCAAGGGTTCAGTAGACTCGGAAAAGGTACACCTATCCACTCTTCAATGTCGTGGGACTTAAAATTTTACTGTCTGCATTTATATGTTGGACTAGAATTTATTTAATTGAAGTTGTAATATTTCTTTTATACTGAGTGGACAACGTGCATTCAGATTTCAAGCAGAGACGACAATGGCTTGCCAAGTCTTTACATTGATTGATGTCAAGAGGATTATGATTAAACATGGACCAAAGTTTCGACAAGAGTTTGACTAGTTGCCAAACTTCCCGACCCCTTTCTTATCCGCTGACATTCATTAGAACAAATCATTCCTAGTCAATAGGTAGGCTAACTGTTATGTCAAATTCAAACTATCTGTTAAATTAACTAATATTCAATTGTCTTATCTTCTATTTATTTAATGTTTAATAGTACATCAAAGGATTTCTCCGGTGTTTTAATATAATGATCAACTCTTTGGTAATGTTTTAACCTCTACATTTCTTTAAACCTTTGTATTGCTTGGTGTATAAAAACAATATAGAAGGGAGGGGCTAATGACAGCTCTGCGATACTTTAAAATAAAACAAATAAGGAGCAGATTGACAAATTGAATTTAGTTCACTAGTAAAATGTCACAGTATGCATATTCCCTAAGTTTGTGTCGGTATTAAAGTTATTCTTTAGGTACAGTATTTTAAAATTTAATTATAGCAACCAAGATACATAAACTTGAATTTTATTAATATTTATAAACATAAACCAATTCGTCGAGATATGAAACTCATCTTTATTAATTTTGAAAGAACATAGTTCAGGTAGCCAAGCAATAGCTTTGCTCGTATTTTCCAATAACTCGAGTTCCTTCAAGAGTCTTTATACAACAGAGTTTGCCAAAGAATCTTCTATCTCATTTACTTTGTGTCGTATTTAAATTATACGTCAAATAAAAACATCATGCTAAATATCTTGTATTTTCTATAAAACCAAATAACTACAATTTTATTTCGATAATTCTTTTTTGCTAAAGTTGATTTGGGTAGGATTTGCACAAAATGATAAGGCAGATATTGATTTGTGTTTACTTTTAATCGCTTTATAGAGGCAAAGTATAATTAAAATAAATTGTTGTACATCGGTTACATGAAATAAATCAGTCGGTAGCTTACATATCAGTAAAGTAAGTTCTAAATTAAAAACCTCGTCTTTATTTCATTCAGTTTTCAAAAGTTCCAGTTCTCACATTCAACCACAAGAAAATATATTCACTCTGATAAAATTTACACTGAGATTTTTCGAACATACAATTAAACATTAGGTATATTTACAACACTATAAAACGTCATCATGGTGGCAACAAAGGATTATACCAATAATGTATATTAATAAAAGGACACTTGAATGTATAAAAACAAAATGTATAAAATAACATAGTATATTATTTACATTATCACTAAGTCCTATGTAAAGCTGTGAATTGGTTAACAACTCTTTGATAATTTCTTGGTAATTTATATCGTGGTATTTTATGTTAACGCGAGTTATGTTTTATTCAAACTATTCCAGGATAACTAGAGGAAAACAAATCATTCACAATTATTTAGATCACTATATCACTATGTAGGCCTAATTTAAATCAATGTAGTTGAATAATGTTATATACAGTAATTGTTATTACTTTTAGGTTATTTTTATCTCTACCATTTACCCTTATTATATTTTTATAAATACAATGGTTATTATGTATTTATTTCTTTTTTTATGATGATACTTGTATTTGGGGCAGACTTGGGATAGAATTGAAATAATATGGCATACAAAACGGAAATGAAGCTTTTTATCTAGTATGGCTACGATATAGTGACGAGTGTACATCAGGTTATGAAAAATATACCTGATAGAGTATTTGGCACATCAAGGTATATACAGTATTACAAACCTCCTTCACAGCTTAACACAGGATAATGATCAACTTACGAATATTTATTACAGGTATAAAATGTAGAGTAATAAACTTTCGATATAATACAAAACTCTTAAACTTTGAATGTAATAAATTACAATTCTGTAGATCAATAAACAGGTCAATAATTACATATTTATAGAATCTGACTAATATGTGACACCCTGTAAGTCGGAGATGGTGAGCGATAGCGACTGTTGTAGCGCAAGGCTTACAACTTTGTCATTAGTCAGACGGTACTTTCGCGCTTGGTGACCATAAGGGGCGACTCAGGCGCGGAGGTGGAGCCCTCCTCCTCGTGTGGTGGGGGTCGTAACGATGGCGGGGGCGGAGGCCCGCCATGGTGGTAACCTATCACCGCAGGATGTCTATACCCTGGACCACCACCCCAGTGCGGTCGAGGTAATGTCCCCGCTCCCGCGTACAGCGAGTCCACACTTCCCTGGAATACACAACGGTTTAATATCCAAAATGTCTATTATTGCTTTAATATTATTATTGATTAATGAAAACCACAAATACTCGTATAGTTCGTACGAATGGCAGATATGATACCATCCTGATATACAAAAACCTCTTGCTATTCATGCAAGAGAGCATTCTAAAAATTTTCAACAGTTTTATTCACTAAACGAATAAGAAAATTAACCAAAGACGCATCATACATAAAATTCAGACAGCTTGAGCAAACTAATCAATTGATACTTAAATATAAAACACCATCAGGTCTAAGTTTGGTATAGTATACACACATTTTTCTTTCTTTATTTTTATAAATAAATTGATTTTCTTTATTACTTCCTTATAAATCATGTATTTTTCAGTTGTACAAAGTCATATGATACGAATAATAACCCAATTTTTGTTTCTGCATTGTTGCTGATGAAGGCTTAAGCAGGAAACATAGAAAGTAATTTACTTGTTATGAAAAAGCCGTTTGGTAATACTATAAAGAGACGATATTAATGATTTAAATACTCGATTTATGAATACGTAGTGAATATTCAATTGAAGCTGATCATACTTAGTCACTGTAAACATCCGCAGCAAAAAAGTGTTCACCACTCAACAATCACTTTAGTTTAGGTAGCCTAAAAAACCTTAAACTCCACTGATACTACCTTTACATGAAAAATGTATTGGCATTATTTTTACGTTGCATATATCGTGACATCATACAGCCCTGAATGTGTATTACCTGTACATGTTTAGTAGGCAGGTTGCTGAGGTCATGTAGCGGCAGGCCGCCATTCCTCAGCGTGCAGTAGCCAGGGTAGGCACCCCCAGGCCCGTGCTGCAGAAGGGATCTACTCGGCGAGTTCCTCGTTTCTATTGTAGATATGTGCTGCCGCTTTCTTAGAAAATCTAACTGAGCTTCGTCGCTATCTATACCTGCGCAGTTAAAATTTTTTATGTAAACATATGTATCAGACTATTATGTTGTATTATTGTAATAAATGATACTTAAGCGAAGCAATCCTTAAAACGTTCGCCAACCATATATTTCCCATATGTATTTTTTACATTTCTAAGGTAGCCTAGAAATTTCTTAATTTCCTTCTGATTATTCATTTGTCCTTTACCACGACATACTTCCGGCTGTAGCAAATAATGGTTATTCGATCATATAACATGATCACTACAACACCTTTATTCATTTATCAATAAAATTAATATACATTGAAAAGGACGTATACAATCTAATAATCAATACAATCCAAAGGGTCCTTTTTATAAGCTGTTATCATTTTAATACATAGATATATAATGAGGGAAAACAAATGTTATTATTTTTACACGTTATCTCCCGTTAGGCCTGCCATACACGTTCCGTCCGGGCCTCAAGGCCTGGCCTTGAGGCCGGAACTGCACAGTTTGACCGGAGTCGTGACCTCCCCACACACGCTCAGTCCGGAACTGCACAGTTTGGAGTTTTTCAATTATCAACTCTTTTCTAAAACGCACTTCTTAAATTATTTATTTTTTTAACCACAGTGTCCTTTGTGGCTTTTGGGTCCGCCTTCTTCACAAAATCCAATAATTGTTGATAGGCTGCTTCCCTCATTTCCCTGTTATGGTACTCTTTACTTTTAATTTTCCAGATGCATTCGTGACCTCGGTATTTCTCAATGAATTCCAGTGTGAAGTCTCTTGACCAGGTAGACATGATTAATGTGGAGTACTAACGAAATCACTAAACAACACTACAGCACCAAAATCCAAAAACTATATTAACGAAACAACAAACAACACAGCTCCGATTATGCTTTCACCAGTAGTTGACTCACAATGAAGAAAGGATGCGAATGCGAGTCCAAGACAGTGCTGCTTCCCCCTCCCCCTATAAATTTTAAGCATTATCGCATTCGCATAATGCTTAAAACGGAAAGTGTATGGCAGGCCTAAGGTAGGCCTTACTATGGTGGTTAAAAATCGTTCGATGTATGCATCTTTTCCAAAGTAATTAAACAGTTTTATAACTTACAATTTCTGTAAGTGACATTTGGGCCTGGGTGGATTTTTAATGCGTACCGTATATCTTATAAGGGTTATAATATTGTAAAAAAATAATAATTGCCTGTGGGGAGGAGGGTTGTTCTATACAGTTGACCACAACTTCACTAATATGGAGGAACACGAAGCGCGCAGTTTCAGCTTGACAGATGTGCTTAAGTGTTGGGTTATTCAACAAAACTCCGAGCTTTAGAATTCTAAAGTGCCAACGTCATCTCTTTAGACGGCTGTCTCTTCCACAAACAGTTCCTTTTGAAAGAAAGTATGTTTCTTTAGAAACTTAATTTTTCTACTCTTTACGGTTTTTAGCCATTGCTTTTGGATATTCAGTCATCAACGCCATAACATTGTTCCGCTGCACTTTAGTTTACGTCCTACACTCATACGAATGAAAAATATCGATATATCGATTATTTTTTTCGGTTAGTTAGGTAAGGTTTTAACCTAACTAACCAAACTTGACATATAGAATGAAATAATCGATATATCGATCGATATTGTTCAGTAATAGGTATCAGACAGTGAAATCATCACGTCCAAATATTGAAGTCCTAGAATTGCCATATGCTATACTCTCATACGGTTCTGTTTTGAATACAAAGATTTATTGCAAATTATTTATAATGCGGAGACACTGGAAGTGCAGTATGTAAATTATTGGTTGTACAACACATTGCATAAATAATAAAGACTATAAATGTTTCTTATAATTAAAAACAGTATTCAAGCAAAACTTTTCAATGTAAATTTAACACGTTTTTTGTTCAGTCAAAGCAACTAGCACCTAGAACATTGATGTATATAAAACAAAAACAAGGATACAGTTATGCTTCTTAAATAATACTGAATCTGAAAAATAGCTTATAACTTAAACGTATAAATCTGTGCTCTAACATATATGATGCATCGAACTCTATAACTCCGAAGAATGAAGACGTGTTTGTATTTTGATCTAATGATGACTACCAAAGCCACGAGGTATCAAAAGGTATATAGCCCTTACTGACAAATGTTTGAGCTGTAGAGGTAGAAAAGGTTTGAGCACATGATTAATCAGCTAAAAATAGCTCATAAGGTAACATAACAAATACAAAGTCGAAAAAATTTACAAATCAAATAATTTGTTTGTAAATTCTTTGAGATTATAAGTTTACCATTTTAAACAATTACTAAAATAATTATGTCTAAACCCCCTTAGTTTCCGGGAAAAAATTACAAAATTTATCATATATGTTTTAAATATCTAGTAGAGAACATTTGAAATCACAATATTTTATCTGCAATTTGTTAAAAGCTCTATTTACCTCCGACAGGCTGTGGGATAACGTCAGGGTTTTTCTCGTCACTGTCGCCGCCGCTGTCCTGGCCCGCGTCCAGTTTGCTGGGACTGCCAGGCTTGTCCGCAGCGCCACACAGACTGCCAGAGGCACTGCGGGTCCGCTGGTCCAGCTTGTGGCGTTTCCTACGACCCTCGTTCCTGGAGCACTGCAGCCTCAGCACCACCGCCACCACGCAGGCCACTATAAACAGCGCGGACACCACGCCGGTCACCACGCTCATGACCGGAGTGAAGCGGAACCCGCTCCGAGGGCGACCTGTGGTGGACAAAAATATCTTAGGTTATGAAATATATGGTCCTAACTACAAAATATAAATTTTTCATGACAGCAGTTTAAAGAAAAGTGTAGGTCTACTTACGTCCATTGTAGCTTCAGATAATACTAACCAAACACAACCAATCTTTATCCCAAGGTAGTTAAAGATATGAACACTCATTAAGATTGTTCAAAATCTCTTTTGTGCTGCTCAAAAGAAAATCAGCTTTTTCTCTGTGAGGTCTTAAAGTAGATGCGACCATATATTGTCTCAAGAAACAAAAGTGACGTAAGTCAGATACGGCTTAAACTCTATGTCTAATTGAAATTATTTTTGTTAAACAATAGTTACCATATATGCTGTCGAGACTAGACACTTGAAATGCATGCGTTGCTTCTTTTTTGTCTCTCGTTTTTAAAACCTAGGCATAACTTACCGTTAATTATGTGACATATTCGTCATTAAATGTTTTGTGACTGTGATTTTTAAAACTGTTACGTGACATCATGAGTTGAAAAACCTCAAGTTATGTAAAAAGGATCTGATGATGGTATAACAATATACCGAAGCGAAATCCTGTTGGATGTTCAAGGACCACAGTCTGAAGGTATTGTAACCTTCTTATTTTGATAGTTACCATATAATTACCACCATATACTCGACCATTATATCAGCCATTATATTACCATATACCATATACTTAGTTACCATATAGATACCATATATGAGTAAGGTTTGTTGGTTTATTAAATAAACTTATTTTAGAGTCAAACAAGTGTTCTAGACAGGTTTTATGCCCAGAAAAATACAAATAATTTTAAAATCGTAATATTGGGCTTAGGCCTATGGAGTTAACAGAGAAAATGAAATAATTGTGGTAAAAACCTCCATATACATGCATAAATGCATATAAGCACTAATTCTGATAAAAGCAATATTTTGAAGACCTAATAAAAAAGTTAAATTGTATTTTAAATTACGATAGCCTACTTTATCATTTTTATCATGCTGTACTGTAACATTTAGACAGACAGATAGAATATTTTAAAGGCTCTGAGTGTTGTACGGCTGGCCACCGGACAACTATATCTCTCTCTATTGTTGGATGCGCGCTCCAACCTATTGTTATCAGCTGAGCCTTGCATTCCGTCTGACTATCCTGTCGAAGTTTGTCGAACGTTACGCCAGTATTTTTCCACGATAACTCTGCCTCAGAACAGCCAGAACTACTTGAGGAGTGACATCGCTGACTCGACTACAAGACCCATTCTTTCTACGTATGTCTACGGATTATATGGAAGCATGGTAAGCAGTATGATGGATTTTTATTTTTGTTGAAGGAAACTTTTAACTTAAACCTAGGCAAAATTCAGAACGTAACCTAAAACTCAGAAAAACAATATTTTCTCTCTAGTTTTGAAAATGGAATCTTAGTTCATGAAAGTAAAACCTGTTGTGTTTGTTCAGGAATGATTTAATGGTTTTCATCTTTAAAAACAGTTATTTCGATTTTATAATGTATTGTATCATAGTAGAATGTTTGTAAAAATTTATTGTTTCAACCTTGAAAAGCTTTGGTAAAATATCTATGAAGTCTTAACCATTATTCCAACTTGTGAAACTACTGTAACTAGGGAACAACTTTGTCAAAACCTGTCAATACGAACATGTGCTAAATTGAATTAATTTCCTTGCTGAAACATTTTACGAGGTTAGAAAATGCTTTAAAAACTAATGTAGGCTAGGCTAGTTTCAAATTATGATTTGAAACTATTGAAATCATTATGATGATTTCAATGTCAAGTGTAAATTCTTAGTTTATTTATTTGTGTTCAATTTTTAAATGTGATGTAATTTTGTAAAGTTTCATGTAGGCCTAGCCCATTCATATTCAATCTGTGGAAATTGTAAGTATGTAATTTTATGTCAAAAGGGTTTAAAAGTCATTTATGTTTGCCAAAGAGAGAAATAAAATTTAGGTTAGATTGTTGCTTTGGTAAAAACAATAATCACTTTAAGTCAAAATGTATTTTGCCAGTACTGAAAATAATTTTGTTATGTAAGAATTTAGGCTGAGACAATTTTTCAAGTTTTATAATAATATTTGATACATCTGAACTACTCTAGATTCCTTTATAATATTTCACAGACTATTTGTAAAGCAATTTCCAGTTACCACTCTCATTCAAAGTTCAAGTTACAATTTTATTCTGAACTCTTTTGCTGTCTAGTAATGTATTAAAAATACCATGTGATTTAATTGTCGTTTGCGGTAAACAACCAAATAGTTAAAAATATGCTCTGAATGTTAGAGATTTCATAATTTAAAAGATTGGTTTGGAGATACTGATACTGACTGAGGAATATTTGTGTAATATTGTGATTTTTAAAAGTTGTGTTTGTTTATCAATGTTTTGGAACAAGTATTATTACACTTTTGAATATGCAGGGTTTCTGGTTTGGAGGATGCTAGTCTGGACCCAGAGCCTCACCCTGCTGATGACTGTACCGATCTTGACCCTGCTGAAGAGGTTTACCTACTCGACTTAACCTACCCTAACCGGGACTGCGGAATTGTTTGACGAGGGACCTCCACATCCGTATAACTGACAGATGAGTGTAGCTTTAAGGATCTTAGAAGTTGGTTGGACTTTTTAAAGAACTTTCACTATTCATTACCGCAAGACCTGGATCAAAGCTACTCTAGCCTAGTGGGATACTGTTAAAATCACAATTTGAGGATAGGGTTAACTTAGAAATAGTTAATCGTAACCTGATGATTATTTGTCTGTATGTATATAGTATTTGATAACTTGTAGCTAGTAGGTATATTTGTGTAAAGTAATCTTTCCAATTTTGAAAAGAAATAAGGGCCCTTCTTAAACAAACAAAAAAAAATAAATAAATAAATAAGTAAAAAAAAAAAAAAAAAAAAAAATACAAGAAAATATTGAAAGTGCTTTCTACAAAACAAATTTTATTCAAATCATCTTACAGTTCAGTATATTGACTATGCTACCTACTTGAGTTTAGGCTCTGTTTGGGATAATTAATTAAGTATAGATATTTACGGTTGATTTTCTGTGAGAATATTTTGAAGCGTTAACGCTGAACTAGATTGTGTGTAAGAATTTTCCGAAGCGAAATCGCTGAACTAGCCTACCTTGATATTTATATGAATATTATTTGTGTTTTCAGCTGAACTATTATTAGATTAAGTCATGGTTTCTTATTTGTGTTTGTAATCCTTCAGAATGTGTGAAATGTTATTGATGTAGGTATTGAAATTTGGACAACATTATAGGATTGAAGGATAAACTATTGTTTTCATTGTGGAACCTGGTCCTAGATTAACAAACATCCATCATACTTGCTTACCATTGGTTCCTTGTTACCACTGATACACCAAGCAACTTATAACAAGGTGGCGCCCTCTCAAAAGTTATGGAATATTCTCTCCATCACACTTAGAACTCTAGAGCTCATGTTAGAAATTTTGACCCACCCCTACTCTACCAAGAAGTTCAGAATTATCTTACTGCAGGAAATTTGCAACGAGCTAGTTAGGCTACAGTACGGATACTAACTGTGTTCGTTAGTGAGTTGTTTCTCTGGTAGCCTAAGCGTGGCCGTTTGAACAACGACGGGTTCGCTGCGGCCCTTCACGTTGACTGAGAAGATGCACGCCTGGTACTGCATGCCAGGGGTGAGGCCGCCCACGCTGAACCTCGGCACCGGAGACGTTGTGTTCACCTTGAGTGCCTGACTCTCTGTCTCGCGGACCTCCACGGTGAACGACTGAGGAAGCCCGCCATTGAATCCTTCGCTGCAGCGGACCGAGAACGACGTCATCGACGTGTTGGCTATCGTGCAGTTATGCACTTGGTCAGGCCGACCTAAACATAGAATAGCACAATATATCTTTACAACTGTATAAACCAGATACTCAGTTTGTATTTCAAACATCTGAGATAACTTCATTATTAGGTATTTGGTAAAATTCCGTACTTTGAATGATATAAATAAACATCCAGATAGAGGTAAGAAGTAAATTTCGTTTTTTCAACAAGCAGGCCCTACAAGCAGGTTTGGACTTGTAGGTGGACTTGTAGGTCCTGTAAAAATAAACATACGAATATGGATTGGAATTAAAAGTTATCTTTTCTTTTTACCAAGCAGACCCCTGTAGGTTGATAAATATTGATAAATATTCCGATATTGTCTAAAAGTTATGAAGAAGTCATATTATTTGATACTTAAAATCTTAACAATAATATACAATTTTACGAGATGCATAAAACCTCCGTTATAATGCATAAGACAAATTTAATAAACCAAATCAATTTAATGAAACTTTTAACAACGCCTAATACAAAACACTGAAATGAGAAAGGCTTAACAGGTTAAGTGACAGAAAGATATATTATTATCCACCACGGTATCTATACAAATTTAATTATTTTAACAGATATTCCCTAATTTGCCGTACTAGATTAATAAAATATAATAGGTAAGTCAAATAGAACTAAAACACGTTATAAAAGGTGTTAGCTTTATTAATATCAAGCCGGTTATTTTAATAAAATATTTTTTGAATCGTAATTGTATTGTGTGTAATTAATTAAAGCTATGTTATATTGGTGAATATGTACTTTAGAATTTGATTCGTTAAGAGCCATTATATGTAGCAGTTACAATTGAGAGTCCAATTAGTGTTTAACTAACTATATAAAAATGCAATGATGATCCGACGAGATAGAAAATGTTTAAAATATCCTTACTATGAAAAATATTAATTAAATCCTAATGTCAAAATCCAATATTTTTTCCCAGAAGTTTTGTTTGAGTACAGACTGTAAACTAATTAAAATGGTAGGTAACAAAATCAATTTTTTTTTTCAAAGTGAAGAATCTTGAATCTCGTACATCATAGCTTATACTTGCAAATTTAGGTGTTTAGATACAACTATTTCACATACAGATTTGTGTTTTAATTTAACTTAAAACAATTTTAAAACAATGCAACTGACAACCTATAATTTAAAACTATACGTTGACATCAATATAAAATCTAGTTGAACGAAGAAAAAGAAAAACGAAACAAAATATTGTTATTCCGAAAACTGATGGACGTGAAGAAAGTTATTTCCGACAAAAGCGAGATACATAAAAATGTAATTTTTCCGAAACAAAGCCGTGAATTCTTCTGTGAAGTATGTTGCAGACTATAAAGCTGGCCGCGAAGCAACTTTGTTTTGACGCGAGGGTTTGAATGTAGAATGAAGGGAAGCATAAATTATTTCCGCCCGAATCTGTAAGCCCTCATGTATATCTCAAAGGACAACGCAGTGTATGCGGCACCTGCAGGGGATTGCGTTGATGTTCACTGACGTGAGATATTCCATGTGTGTCATAAGAAGCTTCCTTTATAATAAACAGACAGAATATCACTGGTAGTCTATGTTAATATTGCATGGTTTGGCTCTTATTTTCGAGAACAAAAAGTATTTTAATTTTATATTTTTTTCCGAAAAATTGTTTATCATTATAATAAAGGCTAATGAGAGTTTTCTGAATAGTGGAATTTTTAGACTGTTGGAAAATATAAGTCAAATAATGTTATTAAGTACCTATAAATAAAGATGACTATTATTATTAAAAGCAACCCATTTTAATGAGTTAGGGAGAAAAATAAAAATTATGAAAGAGGTTTCATAAGCCAAACACGATAAAAACAGTATTGGGAGCAAATTTAATTAAAGTTAAGAATCTTTGCTCTGGCATGTTTTTTATTGGTTATTCGAAGCCATATTAAAGTTGGTTTTGGCAAAGAAGTGTAACCCATTAATAATATAAGATTCCATTCTATTAAGAAATTAATACATAAAGGCTTACCAATGATTTTTTTATTGTGGTTCACATACTTAAAAAGGGAAATATTATTTTGCTCTGGATCTTACATTTTCAGGAAGTAAATATCACATCCAAGTAAAGAGTAATTAATAGATAGATAATGTACAGTAAAAAAAATAAAATATGACGGAAATGTTGTTCATGTAGCAAAAACAATGTATGGAATGTAAATGTACTGCTTTCCAACAACTTTTAAAACTTTTCTCCAGCAACAAGGTATACATATATTTTTTAAATAATTTCTACTTTGGAATAAATATTGCTTTTAGTTTTACCTTGTACGAGTGTTGATTTTGTAATATAAATGAAAATATATTACATATATTGTACCACATAACAAAATATTTAATTTAGAATAAGAACATATAGCAATTTTGTTTTGCTATTTTACTTTACTTTACACCTAGTGTTGATGAATGTGTGTATGTTTTGTCTACATCATAGTAATGCGTTCCTTTCGTCCTATCTGAACAGTATCCAAGTAATATTAAATGGTTCCTTTTATTTTAACATTTTATATTTGACATTTTTGTTTTGCTTAACCATTGAACACGGGGGGAGCAAGCTGGTCTAGTGGTTAGAGTGCGGGACTCTGGTTCCTGGGGTCCGGGTTCAAATCCCGCCAAATCACCAATGGATTTTATCTAAGTGATAATGCCGCAACCCCTAGGTCTAGCCTGGAGTAATGTGAAAAATAAGTCTGGGCTCGTGTACTAGGAAAAAAACCATTGAACATAACAGTACAGTACTTTACGTTTCTGACCTGCCGCTATGATATGGAAGACACAAGGCTGTCGCTGGTGACCGATCTTGTTGCTCGCCCAGCACAGCAGCGTGCCGTAGTCGTGCTCCGACACCGGCGTGTAAGTGACCACGCTGGAGGTGCCACTTCGCAGAATGTACTTGCTCTCTACGTCGAGGCTCTCCGCCGAGCTGTTGAACGTCCACTTGAAGTTGACGTCACGAGGATTGGCGTCCACCTCGCAAGAGATGTTGGCCCTCTCCTTCTTGGCGACTCCGTGCACCCTCGTCTGGTTGGGCTTGCACGTCGGGGCGTCTGGACAAAGAGATGGGTTGCAGTTGATATGTATTGTGGAAGTCATAGACCATGAGAGATAAAGAAAGTTGATTCAGCTATATAAAATTCAGAGAAACCCCTTATGCTTAGTAAATTTTAAGGTTGTATTTACTAAGAATGTTCACATTTTAAAAGTTTTAAGAAAACGTTTTTTATCGCTTTACAAAACAAACTACTATTATTTTTATATAGACTAGGCCTACATTTTATCTAATTTTAGTCATTTGAATTATTCAAATTAAAATATACCTATAGTTTATAAGGATATGGTTAAAACACAAAATAAATTCATTTTAAACACGCATATCAAACAACGTTGTTGGTATGCACCACATAAATTCAGCAAAGCATGTCCATAAGAAATGTATTTTAAATGTAAATATACCCTCGATCTACCGACCTCTGCAAAACTTCGACTGTTGCATTGTAGATCAGGTATTCTGATTTAAATATGTTTGCATTTGCATGTCGTATATTCAAATGTTTTAACGATGTTTTTATATGGTATATTTTACTGATTATCACCAATATAGTTTTGATGCTAAAAAGAGTTTAGATGAGTAATCTTGAAAATAGATTATATAGCTAATTATAGCCATACAATACTATATTACGTTTTTGCTCCAATAAACGGGAAATTTAATAGAATAGACAATATTCAATGTGGCCATAACGAATGTGTCTTTGTTAGTTGGTGAGCTGTTTACCAGGACCACTTTGGGTCAGCGTGTCCCGAAACTACCCAGTCACTTAATTCCTACCAACACTGTGTCACCAATAACTTTCAAACACGACACACCTTTCTCGATACTTTTAACGTGATTTCCCCAGATTTAAGCTTTTCAAGGATCATTGTTTAACTCACAAAGTACGTTGAGATAGAAAGGGTCGCTCTCGCCGTCCCCTTCAGTGTTGAACCCTACACAAGTGTAGTTGCCTGCACTGGCTCTGCTGACACCCTGCAGTACCAGACTCTGGTTGCTGATGATGATCCCGTGATTCACATTGTGGTTCAGGATCTTACCCTAGGCATAGTGATCGTAATTATTAGAATCATATTATAACCATGTACATTTTAGCTATAAATACAGTAAGTTGTTTTAAGAGTCCTTGGAGCCTAGACGCTATAGCTCATAAAACAATTACAAAACTAGAAACAGCGCACTAGATATTTAAATTACAATCACTTTGGTATTTGAACAAATGTTTTGAGAACTCTTAAGCGGCTGTTTGAAATTAACAAAATTAACATTAAGATTAACATGGACAACGAAGCAACAGTTAAAAACACTTCAAATCTCCTAACAGTTTTTAGTTTCAGTAAAAAGCAAACCTTGGTGTTGACTTCAGGAAACTATATTTTTTATTGTCAGAAAAGTACGTCCCCACGAGCTGCAAAGAAATATTGGACGCTCGTGACGACCTGGCTGATCCATGTAACACTACTTAATAGCAAATACAAGCAAATAGTTACTTAATAGAAAATATAACTAGGCCTAAATATGTCTCCTAATTCACGGTAGATATAAATCAGTACACAAACAAGAATGTGTTTTTTGGGATGGTTAACAAAAAACCTTGAGAGCTTCAACAAAAATAATCAAAATATTGACTAATATATTATTTTAGTAATATCACAACGAAAGATTTTAATTATAATAAACTGTTGTAACAATCCTTGTGGTAACATGAAATATAAATGTGATATACCAATTCTATAAAAATAAACTCTACTTTGTGCAGTAATATTGAGGAAAATGTTTAAAGCTATTGATAAAGAAGTAGGTCGTTGAAGGTTTAGCACAAGATGTCAAAGGATAAAAAAGGGATAACATTTTTTAAGGTGCCTTTGTCATATAATCGAACCTTTATATCCGTGTAATTTGATTTCGGACAGGAAAGTATCTATAACAATTATTACAAATGTGCCTTAATTACAATATACGAGTACAAAGGTCAAATACACTTACGTTATGTCTCCATTCCACCTTGTAAACCGGTGGTTCCGCTACGACCATACAGTCAAAGTAAACATCAGTCCCTTCTCTAATATTGTCTTTGTTTAACGAGGTACCTAGTGTGAGCTTTGTTTGTGGTATATCTGCAACACAACATTGGTCGATTGTAATACAAAACAAACATTGTCCGGTGATTTACCTTTGCAGTAATCACATTGCAGTAATTTAATTAAGCAGTAATCACATATTAAGTATCTGAAAAAGTTATCACATAAGCACCATACGACATATTATTCTTGCCTAAAACTAACAAAAGAGGTAAATAATACCTATAGAATTGTTTTGAAACATTATAATTTGTAATAATTAGTGCGTGATGTCCAATTGTTTGTATAAAGTATTTGATTTCACTACAATCAGCTATTTGCTTTTATTAAGAGAGAAATGTGAGATATTTCAAATTTAAACAATACAAACAAAGTAAAGTGTCACGTACAATGCACATGCAGCGTCCACGTTGTTTCTAATATTTCCGATGACACGGTGGGGTTTTCAGCCCTGCAGGTTAGGTTTTTACCAGAATCTTCTTTGGTGACGGTAAATGACAGTGTACTTGTGGTGGTGTTGCCGTCATTCGACGTCTGAAACATAGAGTAATACTAATGAGATGGTGGTACTAAAACTAGGAAAATAGCTAGGAAGTTTTTAGAAGATGGACTGTTTTAGTATAAGTTAACAAAACCTTTCAAGTCTATTAATGTGTATAGCATTGGCAAGTTTGGCAATGACAAATATTCTTGTAGGAGTATTACGTTATTTTCACTTTAGCAAGACAAAACTTAGTAGTTTCAGAGAGTATTTTACAGGTCCCTCAATTTAATAATCATATCGTTGTAGTACATCTTTACAAATTTTAAAATAAGTTCACAATGACAATAACCCATGGTCACCGTATGGTCTCAACCATATGGTGTAGGTATTATCACGGCCTTTGCACCTTACCTTTGTTTACATTTTAAAATTGTTTTCTTTTTTACCTGGAATGTTTCTTAGCTTAAACCTACAATGATTAAGTAGTAGTTATCTTAAAACCGGGTTTTTCTAGGCACGGAAGCGGAGAGCGGAGAGAGGAACGTGGAGAGCAGAAAAGAGATTAACATGGTGTTCCGCTCCGCTTCTAGGAAAACAGTTAACATTAAATGACCTAAGACAAGTGGAGTCGGCTCTCCGCGTTCCTCCCTCCGCGCTCCAATTCCGCGCCTAGGAAAACCCGGCATAAGGTTAGTAAGTTAAGTAGAGTGTTTTACCGTTTCCTTTATGCTTTCTAGCCTCTTCCCTCCCTTCCACCACGTCACCTTGGCCTGTGGTCGAGACCCAGAAGACTGGCAGAGAAGGTCATAACGACGACCCGCAGACAGCGGCTGAGAAGATTCTAGGATGTGCACGTCTAGAGGCCGAACTGGAAATTATCAATAATTATTATGGTAAAACAAATAAAAGGTTTAACGAACAGCACTTGTATCTATAGCGTACTGATTGACAAGGGAACTTATTTATTCCTAAGTACGAAAATAAAAGAAAGAGAGAAAACTAAGGTCATGAAACCCGAAAAAGAATTTCTTGAAACCATAAGTAACGAAAGTTAGTTATTTCTAATTTAATTATTGATAATAATTAGATTTTTTACTTAATAACATTTTTTATTATCAGACAGCAACACCAGATATGTACGCACACTAATCTTGAGCAAAAATGTGTAACTTTATTATGCTAAGTTGCTCACCAGTTTTTCCAGCTAGGATAACCTATTAAGAGTGAAATTATTGAGGAAAGCTGCACCCAGTTTGAAACCGTCGAAAAACTATTGTGTTTCTCAGGTGCATACCAGCAAACCTTAGGTATTCGGGCATGCACTATCATAACGCAACTAAGCAGGTATTGGAGCAAGAGGTTACAACTACCGTCATTCGTTTGATGATGCTACCATTGGTTTGGTGATTTCTTATTATAGACAAAAAAATAATATAGACTGTTAGCCGTGCTGCGGTTACCATGGTTAACATAGGTTCTGGCACACACCACTGGGAGCGCCCTGTAGTTACGTAGCACGTACGCTGTAACTACATGGCACTCCCAGTGGTGTGTGCCAGAACCTATGGTAAAAGCAGCACGACTGACGGTCTATATTCAAATCTTTTATTCTATAGTCTTATCCACATGGTAATTACAAATAAAACTCAACCTCCTCGGTGTACTCACAGTTCATGTCGACGTGCACAGTGGAGCTGAGAGGCACAGTTTTATTGTTGTTCCACGCTCTACACGTGAGCTCAGAGTGCAGATCCTCGCGTCCAAGGTCGACCAACACCACCTGGTTGGTGACAGTACCACCCTGGCTAGGCGGAGCCACCATGGTGCGGTTGGTCAGGATGTCATCCCCTCTGTACCACACTACGGCTGGTGGTGGTTTACCTGTAAACGCCGACTCTATGACTTTCTGAATAAATTAGGATAACACGTGATTTTCACAATAATACACTAAAAGAAATGATAGCTTACTAATTGTGCTAAAATTAAAAGAAAACAATTAGTGTGGATATTTTTTGTTAAACTAAGAACGTTTCGTTTGGTAATGAAGTTTTCGTTGTTGATAGTAAAATACCTTAATCAACTAGGGCAGTAACGCATAATGACCTCACCCTTTCCTATTCCTCAACTAAATTAGTGTTTAAATAAAACATAGGTATACAATTTTTTAGCCTAAAGTGTGTTTATTATTCCTTTCGCCTCAATACATAAATAAAGTACTAAGAGTTTTTAATCCACAAAAGAAATGTATACAAAAAACTTGTTTTAACTTTCTTTGCTGCAAATGTGTAAATGGGGTATTATTGTGTAAATTGCCACCCACCCCCCTTAACAAGAGCAGATGGTTAGTAACACTATGTAATTTCAACAAGAATCTTCATTTTGTATGATTCCTATTACCTAACCCAGGTAATATGAAAGTACTAATAAGCTATTTAACATAATTCAAATTTATCAGAAACTAATAAAATTTGACGCTAGGTAATTTTGTTCAGTTCCTGTATTCCAAAAGAATGATGCCCAATTAAGTTTTCCATTTCAATACGTTAAAAAATTCCATTGGTGTAGATAACCTAAATATATATATATAAACTGTATTATTTAAAAATAATACAAGTTACCTCCATATACTTCACAGGTGAGGACGAGATCTGAACCTTCCGTGTACGGACCGACGACGGACGTCCGCTCTATCCGATTTTCATCGAGTATCACCATCTTGTTTGGAGGAACTAAAATAACAAAACACGACAAGTTATATAATATTATAAATAAAGAACCCATTGAATAGAGTGACCTGGTATGCAGGGAACAAATCAAAATATAAAAATACCACGATTCCAAAGTAAACTATATCAAAACGAGACAAACACAAACATCTAAACAAGAAAGACCGTAATCACGTTATTTGTTTCTGCAGCAGACACTTGCTCCACAGGGATGAGATCTTCCTTGCTTTGGGATTTTACTTTGTACCGTTTATTGTACCACTTACCACACTGGTGCCGACCCAAATATATATATAAATACCAAATATATTGGTCGTATAAGTTCTTTAGACTGTTACGTATGCTAAAGTCACGTCTCTAAAATAAAACATTTTAAATTTGTAGTAATAGCACTATTGTTCTAAGCTAAATTCAATCCCCAATAAGGTTTGTTGATGTACATAAACCACACCAGTAGATCGGAGAAGGGGTAATGTATTTGTTTGGGCAACCTAAATGCCTTCAGGTCACTCACTCTCAGTTTGGGTCAACGATGTGTGGAAAATCCATTTGTAGACGGACCCACGATAACAATGTTTGCTGAAAACATATGTGTGAATTTCATTTGGTGTGTTCTGTGTACACATAGTTACCCTACACGGAATGGTTTGAATTATTCATGTTGAATACGTATGTTTTAATTTGAAACCTCTGGTAAGAGAGTTAGAATAAATATTTCATAAAAACTAACTTGTTTGCTTTATGTATGTGTTAATTACCTCAAAGTTTCAGTCAGTGCAATAAAATTGTGATTTAAATATCCTGATATAAAACAAAATCGATTTCCATGTGATATTCATCTGTGTACAAATTACCATTAGGGATAGTAGGATTAATGTTGGTAATCAATATAAAAATGTTCACTGTATTTGTTGTATGATAAGTAAATTTAAATTAAATTAACGAACATCTCTATGGGTTGATACAACTATCTGTATTACATTAAGGAATGTTTTCCGAGAAATTCTATTATGCAGAATGTAATCGTTAAAGTGCCGTATAATTAGGTTAGATGTTTATTTAAAGGTTTTCTCATTATGGCAATTACTGTTGTATTATGTACCTTATCAACTATAATGGACTATTGATCAAGGTACAATGTTTACTTCCAACCAATTAAAGTATGGCTTTATTTGAGCTTTACGCAGTGTATAAAAAAACCGTTCTACTACTTTAACCTTTTAAACATTTCTAAACATAAAGGTAAACTTAAAACTGTACTCGTAAAACGAAATCAAGTTAGTTACATTAACTGTATATTGGAGATACAAGTAAAACACAGAGTAAAACTGCAGACACAACTTGATACAACAAAGCAGCAAGCAAACAATAGGCCCATAATCACATTGCGTTATTGAGTAACAAAACTTGCCAGCTGAGACCTTTTACCTTTGATACTCTGGTAAAACCCTCTCTATAACCTTGTGATATTTCAATGTAAACTAATTATCTTTGTAACTAAATATTGTTATACTAATATTATCCATAATATTTTATGTTGTTTATTTAAATGCATAATTTATGTATACTATATTTTATATAGCCACGTAAAATTTAAGTGTTAATTTTGCCTCAATTCGAATGGCTAAATTAATTAAAATCTCACTACAGTCCATTTCATATGTATCTCAAGTAGAGTTTTAACAAAATAATTGTTTATCGATAGAACATAGTTTGATTCGTTTCAAGTGTAGTGGTATGATAACATCAAGCGGTAATGAATACAATACTTTTTTTGGAAGGTATTTTGTGTGTAGTGTTTGTTTTTCATTACGAGCTAGTATTTCACCACCCCAAAAAAATATTATGAGAATTTTCGTTTTCTGTTAACATTTTATGGATGGAATTGACAATAATTAAATCGAACTATGAATTTCTCACAGCTACTTAGATTATCATATGACTAAAATTTAACTAATGTGTAAAGAAATTTTTGAAAAGAGAATACAATAAATGTAGTTAAAAATAAAACGATACACACAAACTTCGATAATCACGAATTTCGATATGAGAAACTCGTTCTTTGCTCAAATGTATTTATACTTTTATCATTTTGTATTTGACCTGAAACATTTGAAAAGCTAATGAAATCAACACTGGAGGGACACCAAAGGCAACTAGAGGCTTTAGACCAAGACAAACAGGTAACAATGTTAAGTGTTTTGTTGTGTGGAAACTCCGTTTTAACTTGATTGACTCACTTCTGACCTTTCTGTCAGAGTTTGATACATTTACTGACGAAGCTAGTTAGAGGGGAACGATATACTGAGGATGATTGTTTATTCTTTGTTGTATTAACCTCTGAACAAAGCTGTTAGTATCCATGGACTTTCATAAAGGTAAGTTGTAAACGTGTTACCTTTTTACTTTTGTATGCACAGAATGATTATGTAAACTCTGATTTCCTCAGACATTTTGGTTCATTTTATTTTGATAAATTCTACCTGTTTATATATTTTATTTCCTTTAGTCTTTACAGTTACTTTCTAGCTAAATTAAAATTTTTTTTAAAATATCAATTATAATAGTAACTGGATGTTTATTAATTATTACTAGTGTCCCTGTTGTTTGAATTCGAGCAATTGCTAAGTATTACAGGCGTTATTTTAAAACAAATAACATTCATAACTTCTGATGATTTTAAAAGATTCGACTCAAAGATTATGGAAATACTCAAGATGTACCTAACAGATCGATATAATCAACATTTATTGTAAATGTGCTATCAATTTTTCAAAAGCTGGTCTTGTTTTTTAGTGTTTTCTACAAATAGCCCTACTCATAGCCCCATTAGGTTGTCCATAATAACGATAAAAAAAAAACATGTTATCAATTTCTTCTTCTTGGTGGTGGTCTATGACTTTCCTGTGTTTCCATAATCCATAGTTTGCAAATCGGCTCTTTCAATGAATACCAAGAAATGCAGCACAGTGTTAATTGAGTTTTCTTTTTTGTTTATCAATTTATTCATTGTATCCATCCTCTAGCTTTTTTCCATTGTAATATTTACGCCAACCCAAATTCAAAAAGCAATTATTTCATTTCTACCAAGTCAGTAAATGTTTGTAGCAAACTGTTAAATTAGCAAACTTATTGACTGTTTACAATCAACATATGTTCTTCTTATCACTTTTAATTTCTGACAACAGTTTCATAACAATGTTTGTTTCCCATCTTAATCTTATGGAGGAATACGAAACTTTAAAGGGCCCCACTCTCTAATTATTTCCCAAAAAAGAAAGTTTCCTGCACAACTTCAGCTTACGCTCTTTCCAATGACACCATAAACATGTCAATCAGTTCAGTAGTTTCGGAGGAGTAATTGTCACAAAAAAACATGCTTGCGTATTAAATAAGTATAGATATAGAAAATAGTGATTATGCAAAATAGTGGGTTTTCAAATTGGAAACACGTTACATCATTATTCTACGCAAGGCATTTTTTGATACATGTACATGTACATATAGTTAATAAAACTTAAATCTTTCTGTATTTTACAATGATTACTTGATTTACTCACCAATGACAGTGAGGTTGACTTTAGAGTTGCGTGTTTGTGCTGTCTTGAAGTCTACCCTGCAGCGATAGACTCCCTGGTCCCCCTCCCTGATGTGGTCTACCCCTAGCTCAGCAGGCTGCTTCTCAGGCATGAAGTACGCCCTGTTCCCGAACACGTTCTCATCTGACCACCTCTCAGCCTGCTTGAAGTCTCTCTCCCTCGCGTCCACACTATCAACACACAAGTGATGTATGTTAGTTATTTATATAACTATGTTATATAAATAATTTCTTCAGTTCCGACTTTACATTATGCTATGCTTTATTTCTAAACCATTTTTACACATTCCTTCAGACTATGCGTAGATGGTTGCGGAACTATCATTTGAATACATAATCCACGACTACCCCTATGAAAATGTTTGATCAAGATTGATCAAAACTTGGTCAAACTTGATCACTTTGGTTCAAAGTTGACCAAACTTGATCAAGTTTGGTCAGCACAGTTGATCAAGAATAATTTCTTGATCAAATTTTGACCTTGTTGATCAACTCCTCCCCCTGAGACTAACTGGGGTGAGTAGCGTAGGTCAGTCTTGCACCAACGTCCGAACGTCTATGTTGTGCATTTTTTCGTTTTACACATCTTTTTATTCAAACTGTGTACATTATTCGTTCGAGCATTAATTTAATTTTCACTAAAACAGTAGCATTATCAGCAGGTTCGTTTTAGTAAGCAGTGTTTTCTTCATGTGCATTATTACTGACATTAAAGTGTAATCAGTGAAACTCAAGTTCAATTAATTTTCATAGTGCGTCTACAGTTCAGTGCATTTTGGTACATTTAGGTATTACGACATCGGATCGCGCAAACCGTGGATAGTAAGTGTTTACGTTATAAGTGTGAGAATACAGTGACAAGTTTTCGAGCTGAATTTGACGATTTCCACTCATCGACGCGGAGAAAGTTGCAAAGGGATGGCAGTTTATTGCCCTTCAAGACCACTGCCTTTGTCATGCGTCGACTCTGGGCGAGGTCTCCAAACAATAGCCGGGGACCTGCCGGCCACCCGCGCTAATGAAGCGTAAATTGAACTTCACTCTTACAAATTATCTGATAAAAGTAAGTGTAATTTGTAACTTGACGTTAAAGATTTGAATTCGATTAGTAATTTCACGAAAAAGTAGTCCAAACACGGCGGAGTTATATCAACCAGTTATATTTACATTTGCATTGTTCTTTGTTTTAATTTTTTCTAAGTAATATTCAATGGTATTAAATCAAACTAACACAAATAAACTATTTAATAGTTGAATTTGCATAAAGGTTAACTGTAAAGGATCATAATCATTACTATATCGGGTGTTAAAGAATAATTATTAGGTATGCCTACTAAAATACATAAATAAACAGTATTTAAAATAACATAAATTCACAGGATACATTATTTTTTTCATATTAACGTCGTTATTCCCATTATTTTTATTTAAGACAGAGAAACTATACCAAAATACGAAAGGAGTTGTGTTAACAATCTATATAAAAGAATGCAGTTCATCTGATCAGCCTTACCGTGGAACCACTAACCCCACGTGAGTGACTCATGGAATAACTATTCCTGCGTGATTCACTTGAACTAAACAGACTCCATCCACGGTATTCACTGAAGGCATTTGCCGTAGTTTGTAGGTGTAAACATACTTTACCTCTTTCGGAGTCTCAGTGGAAAGCTCAGTGGAATATGAACAAATTTACTTAGGCCTAGTTTGAATATTATCGACAAAGTACTAAAAAGCACGTACTTTCGAAGCTAATAACTCACTAGTAATTAATAATTTTTACTAAAAATATTTATTCCTATTATTTGCAATATTCAATACACATCTTTTAGCACTCATCAATATTAGTTTCAATATTTTGTCAATTTCTCACTCAGTTTTTGAATCACGTTACACATTAGAGATTCACATTACACAGGATTTGATCAACCTTGAACAAAACTTGATCAACCTTGATCAACACTTGATCAAAACATGATCAATAATTGATTAATACTTGATCAACCTTGACCAATACCTGATCACAACCTGATCAACTTTGACCAATACTTGATCAAAACTGATCAACTTTGACCAATACTTGATCAATGTTTGATCTGGAAATGTCCCATAACCGGATCAGACCTGATCAAGTATTGATATTTTTTTGATCAAAATTTGATAAGATATTTTCATAGGGGTAGCGGAATTTGAACCCAGGACCTCAAAATCTTTTGCATACCAGCGATGTTCTTCACTCATTACTATTCATGTACATGGCTTATTTGTAACAAGTAATTTGTGAAATCCAATAAATAAACAAATAAATAAGATATACAACAGAATGACTGATTTTCATATTTCTAACACGTGTATAAGAAATTAAATACATGAGATAAATAAATTTACTTTGGGGGTACCTACCTTAAATTCATATAAGTTCTCACGATTAAAATAGTATACGAGATACTAAAGATTCTTGCCCCTATATATTTGCATCATATGGACATATTTTTGCAACCCCTCACACATTGAGATGTGCTTTAAGTTCGAATTTGGAATAGTAGAATACACATTTTAACCCCCTATATTTGGGTGGGTTTTTATATGAATAAGAATAAAAATAAACTTTCAGAGGCACAGTCCATTTCATGAATGTGAAAATCTCTATAAATAAAACTTATCTAGGTACAGCAATTAACATAATCCTCATTATAAACGATGTTAGGAAGGAGTCACAGATTACAAGTAAAGTGTGATGATGGCTGCATTATGTTTTACACACTTTGTAGAGTGTCGCAGTAATTATCACTATGGAGACAACTCTTCCTTTCCAAACCCTTTACATCACAACGTTGTCACGCAGCTTAGCTTTGTAAACATACGTTGGGTTTTTTAACGCGGTTTTCCCTTTTTGATTAATATTAAACTATTTACGAGCAAATGAGTAGATAAGGGTTTGTCTACTATCCTTAACTATTACTAGAGGTACCTCTTGATTAGTCGTTATACTTTTTAAGACTTATATTAAATCAAACTGACACATCTATAACAACATTCAACTAAAAAAAACATTGAAAGGTACCTACAATTTTTTAGTTTCTTTCAGTTATTTTATGTCTATAACTACGGAGTTAATTGAGGTTTATTTATATCCTAATTAATCCATAAGTAAATTTATTTGACACTTACTATTATCCTAACTAGAATCAATATGCTCTCATAATTATTTGCACTTATATTATTCCGATATATATTTTTCAGCAGATTCCTTTCAAACATTACATTACAAACATTTAGTTCTTTATTGCTCTAGTTAAAATACTCATTTTCCAAATTTATGCTTACTCCCGTTTTTATTACCACTTATACACAATAGAGTATTAGCAATACAAAAGTATACGGCTTTGTACATTTTGAACAGTACATAAAGCGTAGTTTCTAAGGTAAGGCCTCGATTTTAAGGTCAGAAAAATATTGAATTGAAGAGATGAGTAGAGGGAGAGAATACAGAGACCAACGCTTGCGCTCTGGACGTTACTGTATCGACATGGACATAATAACGAAACAACTCGCCACCTAATTCCTTTAAACCAATCTTCTTTTCTTATCTTCTATTCGTTCACAATGTGTTTCATCCAACTAATCGATTCTTGAAAAGGATATGAAGATTTGATTATAGTTCAGTACGCAGTCAATAAAATTTGTGGTTGTTTAATAATATGTTTTAACGTATTAATTTATGATTTAAAAATGTGTATGTATAAATTATAAAAGTGTAATAGTCTTAGGGTTAAATAAAGTAAAACTTGTTAACATACTCATTTGTAGTTTCTCCGTACAAGACAACAATCAAGTGAATTTTAATGTCTGTGAATGTAAAATTAAATATTTCCTAAACATTCTTGGGGACATATTTCAGTACACTTTTGCCTTAAAATCATTTACCAGTACTGATTCAACTGCACATTGACTGTTGATAATGTAAACAAATGTAATTGCTTAGCGTGTACATTTTGTTAAAGTTCCATGTATTTTCTAAAAACGTCTAAAAAGGTTTTTTTATGTTCCTTTTCTGATAAGTTTTTTACATTATCTTACAAACAACAAAAGACCAATTCTACCTCCCGATACGAGACAGACTAATCTTGAAAGATTGATGGTTTGAATTCTAGGTGGAAGGTAGAAATTTATTGTATTGCCTTCCTGTGTTGTTATTCGAGTGGTCTATTAAAGTTTCAGTACACATACAAAACACCTAATTAAATGGAATTTCGGTGAAGAAAAACTTTTTAGAGATTTAATATTGGTAATGAGTCATTTAAAGTATTGAAAGTTGCAAATAATATTAATAACTACATTTCAAACTGCGTGTGCGTTTGTTATATTTCAAATATTACAGCTATCGGAATAAACATTTATTTTCCCAATATCGTTTTATAATTTATATTAAAATGGTATGATATAAAATATCAGTAGCGTTTATATCAATTGAGCTTTACCTGGTTAATGCTAATGTACTCCGAAATTAGTTTAAGATTTTCTAAAATATCAATACAATATATGTACCTAGGCCATTTCCAGACAATAAAATAACAACATTACACAAATAGCTGTTTAAATTCTGTATTATTCAGATTATACGTAAATAAGTTAGATTTATTAAATTTTTCTTTGTTGAGTAATTGTATTTTTTTACACATATTGTGCTATTGTACTACTGCATATGATTATTAAACTTCAAATTTGTCTTTAACTTCTTAGAAGAATAAAATAAATTAAAATAAAACACTAAAATGGTTATACCTGGTGACTAATTTTAAAATAAGATAAATATAAACTATCTATAATTTTTTGTTAACAGTAATATTATTTGTAGACACGTTTACTTTAATGAGATTTATAGGTTAAATCTTCTACTTATTCATCATATGTAAATAGTGGACAGAAAACTATTTTCAATTGTATACCATCATTGACTATATACCATATGGTAAAGAAACACGCATTCAGTGCATTTATTCAAGAAATCCACTGGATCAGGCATACTAAAAGACATATGCATCCCTACAGTTATTAGTTTGCCAGAATCATATGGCAGCCACATAGTCCTAATGACATGGAGATAGCTACCGACACAACTGCCTCCATGGCTCCTCCATTAGTAATGCCTACCAATCCATCTCTAAAACCTCCTTTCATAACCTTTTACTCATTACTTTTACTTTTACAGAATAGTATTGTCTTACATGAGAATGCATTGTTGACATTTCTGACAAACACGATGAAAACAAAAATAATAAGTAAAATTATACATAACAAATGTTAATGTTTGATTTGTATCTGAAGCTCACAGATACAACTGATTAAAATATAAACTGTAACAATCTTTTGTGACACCTAGCTTACGTATTTCCTCTTCAAATAATATTAGCTTAGGGTATTTGAAGTAGGTAAGATAATTGTTTTACACGACTTGGAATTTATCATTTACAAAATGTAGCAGATTTCTTTGTTTTTATTTTTTTGTTTTTTACTTGATTTTTACTTGTTTGAATTTCCACATAAACTCATTTTCTTTAGGCTAAACAAATTGTATGTACTTTATCTCCTAAGCTGATAAATAAGATCAAATCTAAATTTAATAACGAGCACGTGTCATTTTGATGTAGTTCATAACTTACATAACTTAGGTCTAGGTCGAAAGAAAACAATAATGTCCAACCAACTGCAGGTAGTGAAATTATAAAATATCGGTTTGGATAATTAATTTAAAATCTTTTTATACCATAGAAATTGCCTTTTAGAGTTTGTAATTTCACCTTTTAAGCTAAACTAAAATAGGTTTTAATATGAGTATAGTTAATAAAAAATATAAAATAAATAAAATGTAAGTGTACACAGGTTCACATACATTTGATGTGGAATAATACAATAATACAGCAAGAAGAGTTTGATCAGAGGAAGGTTTGACGTTTAGAATGTAATCCGTAACTTTCTGACACCTATGTAAATATAAATTCAAAAGAAAACACTTTTTACCGTGTTCTTTAAAAGCGATCGATCTCCGCTATCCGAGCAGACAGATCGTCCGTCAGAGATGGATGATTCTTAGCCTGAGAAAGTAGTGACTTCATTACATTTAAACTTGTGTTCTTACAACCTAAAATGTATTTTAGCAAATAGTACCTTCTAAGTATTAAAATATCCTTGTAAGAAATTGAAATTAAATTAATGTATACCCTTGAGAATGTTCTCCACAAATTAATCTATTACTTTTCTTCATTGTAAATCATATAGCTTATTTTGTTCACACAGCCTCAGTTAATATTATAATTGTAAATATAACCTGTTCTGGAAGAAATATTTGATCTTACAAAGCATTAATGTTTTTATGAACACAAAGAGAAGTATGATGAAATAAATAAATATATTTGTAGGCTAAACTGTTGATCCTGGTTTTCTAGATTGACGCATACTCCACACCGACTACACTAAAGGCATCTTGTATATTATTATAGAATTCAATGTTGTATGAAAAAAAGACTCAAGGAATAAATAATTAAAAACTTGGTCAAAATAGGTATCCTTTTGTCTGCTGAATATCACAAACTAGTACAATAGAAAAAAGCATAGTAACGAAAATCATAAGAACATCTCACTACCTGCGGAACATTTTCAATAATGGCCTCCGTTTTATAATTTTTTTTTTCTTTTATGTTAATATAGGTTAATTTTCTATGACAGTTTGGGAACAGGTTTGTTTGGATGAAGGTAGTAGATTCATCAGTATGTCTTATGGAAAGTCATTTAAAACAGACTGTCTGAAGCAGTGTTCGATACACTTGTGCAGCGTGATTGAATCAGAAAAGTGACAGAAAGTATCATAAGAGTGTAAACTTATCTCTTAAATATGTTTTTTTTTAGATTTTGAATAACTACGAACTTTCTTCAAACAATAACACATGCAAGAATCCCTATCCTTCTCTTTCTTATAGATAAATTAATGTTGCAGAACATAATTGCTTGACAGTAATGCAAACGTTTATTTATAAAATTGACATCGATAAATTATTGTAAATCAAGATTTTTCTACAATACCAATAAAAGCAGGCTTAAAAATCCAAAAAAGGTTTACGTTATTATACTTAGTTATTCACTTGTGGCGAAAACCAGCGTTGCCCAGGGAAAAGACAATGGATAATAACAGTTATACAAAATGCAATTGAAAGTAAAACTTTCGATGTAGTATTTTGTTTCAACATTTTTCGAGTCTTGTATTACTCCGTACAAATTAGCTGGGCTGGTAGTATGTACATGTAATGATGATAATTTCTCATCAAATTACCTGCAGTTTAGTTTTTAACATTTATTTTGCATTGTACTATTTACATACTGTATTACATTTTTTTCCAATTGTAGTGCTAGGAAGTTCATCGTACTTTTTGGCATGATGCTAAAACGCTTGTTTGAATGCTGTTATTTTGTTATGGTGGCTGTTCGTACACTAATTTGTTAACTTTCATGATCCTTTTGTTTAAATGTCAGATGACGTTGACTATTTAAGCCAATTGCAATAAAAAAATATGTAAACATTGCAAGTATACCTTAGTTACTATGAAAGACTATCAATAGAACGCTGCAGTAAACTTACTTTGGACACTTAGAAGTCCTTTGGATAAAAGCAATTGTTACAGACTCTTACTAGTTTCCCATAATACTTGACACGATCTGATAACAAAATAACCTATTACGTGGTTACAAAATATTAGCTTTTTAATAAGGTGTGTGTAATTAATTGTAAAATAAAGTGTATTTGAGAGTTTTTCTATGCAAATACAAACGTCGTGAGTTTCCTTATGTTTGCTATGGCGAAAATTTTATATTTACTTTTAAAAACCTTTCTGAGAATCTTGAAAGCAACAGGGGAGAGTCCTTGAACAATTTTGAAGCAAAAATATTCTTACTTTTTAGTGCAGACCAAGAACTTTTACCACTAAAATTAGAAGTTTATGATAATGGATGGTCGTCGATAGAAATCTGGACATACCCAGATACACACTCCACCAATTTAAATTTTGCGGTTTGAATACAGACGTTAAATCGTAAGGAAAATATAGTTCAAAACTAAGTGTCTGTGCACAAAGAGCAGTTATTCTAAAGAAAAAAAAACAAGCACATTGCAAAGTTTAATCCAAATCGTATTACGTTCACTTTGTACACAACAATTAATAATATACTCGCACAATTGAAGAGCAGATCCTTTTGGAAACAAATTAATTTCTCTTGATTGCATTTCTGCTGTCTGACCTATGCCACGCTGTTATGACGTATCAAATGTATAACTCTGCCAGCTTAATATGAATTCCTATTGCTCTAGATCTGTTATTTGAATGTTCCTAGACGTTAATAATTAATATATAATTAATATGTTTCATGAATTTAAAATATTTCATAAAATATTTTAAGTATATTTAGTTAATGTTTATATTTAGGTAACGTTTGTGCAAGAAAACAAAGTTACAGTTTATATTGGTTGTGGTATGTTTGTAAATGATACTGCAACCAAATATTTATTAAAACATAAATTGTATCCTTTCATAGTCTATATACGTATTGGGGTTTTTAAATCAGCTATGTGTGTGCAAGAATAGTTTGCTGAAAATTCCATTTGTTTTATTAAACTGATCAAATAAAACATGATATGCTGAAACGAAATTGCTAATAAAATCTTAATAAAGGTAACCACTGGAATATTTCATTTAGTTAACTGAACAGGATCAACTTTTGATCTAATATAATATCGCAAAGGGAGTGCAGAAATAATTCTGCTGCCCTTGGGACTTTGACATGTAAAAGAGCCAATGTGCTAAACAAAAACAAAATTTAATTTCAGGCTTTAGTAAAACATTATTAATATTATTAAACTAACATTATTCAGAAGAGTTTGCTAAAAACTGTAGTTATTTTTGTTAGTACCTAATCATACTCCCCGGAAATACCCCTGCTTTACATCAATTTATTTCATTATAATTATGGTATATTCTACACTCACGGCAATGTGCTTGTAGGTAGTGTTTCATACTCTTGAACGTGTAAAATTAACCCTATAGGTAAATATGAAGCTGCTATCATTAAATTATGTCTATCTTTAAATTTAAAAACTCTGGTTTAGTGAGAAGTCATGGTGTGACATAAATTACAAGTTTTTACCTTGATTACTTTGGTAAACACTTAGAGTACAACACTTATGTCCGATATTAGAGTGGAAAATAATCCAAAACGTTAAAAAATTATAATACGACCGAGTAAAATGTACAAACAGTTTAAATATAAGAATAACCCCGCCGCAGCAAACCTAAAGACTAAGCGAATTATTTCCATTCACCTGGTTGGATTTTCGATAAAATCCATTTCAATAACATTATGTTAAACATGTACCTAGGTTTGCTGCTACAGGGAGTGTAATCAAGTGTGTTTTTTTTATTAAAATATGAATAGCTTAGTATTCATAAACAAGCAAGCTAATGGCAGTTAACTTATTCTCCATTAGAGTAACATGGGAATGAAAAAATACAATTTATTGAATTTTCTCCGTAACCAAATACCGGTCAAAAACACTTCAATATACTACATTATTGGTTTTTATTAACCTCTTTAAAAATGTCTAAAGAGAAATTTGGAAATTTTATGTTTTGAGGGTCAAAAATGAGAAAAAAATGTTGCCCCATAAAAGCCCCATAACACCCCGTTCCCAAGGGCTGATCATGCTGGTTCACAAACTCATTTAGTTTATTTGGCCCTACACTTTCAAGACAAATCTTATTAAAATTGAAAACATTACTCAAGTTTATCGTGTTTACAGACGTATTGTTACTTATGCAAATGTTTTAACGAAGGGTGTTTTTTAGCTTTTAGGGACATCAAATTGAAAAAGTAAATCAGTCCCGGGTCTAGGTTTTACCGTGCCGCCTACGGTAATAGCTACTTCCTCAATGGGAAATTCGCCGAAACAATGAAGGAACAAACTAAATACTATTTCACTTGTTTATAAAGATTGTTGCTTGTAAGGATGGTTATATTTACCTAAATATTGGCGTCCCAAGGTCTTCGCGGTACCACAGGACTAGAATAACCGAATCAGGGTTGCCCTGGGGGTCGTCCACTGTCGCAATATCACAGGGGAGGTAGACTGGGTCGCCGGCGACTGCCTGCACATGGTACACAGGAACTGAAACATAAACAAGTGACTTAGTTACTAGATGACAGCTTCAGGGATGAATAACAATTTAATGACTATAAACATAGTTATTTGTGCAACTAGTGAGCAAAAGGAGCAATTGACTCACTGGAGAGAAATACTTACTCAGAGTGCTGCCAACGTATAACGCGCGCATACGACCTTGTCTGCATGTTACGCTCACTATTTCGTGCCTTCACGTTGAAAATCTGGAGCGAGTGAGGCAAAGTAATTAGAGTGAGACAATGTTAACATTGTCTCACTGATGAGCGAATTGGCCACTTTGCTTTCTCAAATCAGTGAGAGAACATGTACATTGTTAGGTAACTGTAGGAAAAATAAATACTTTACAAAAACCAATTAAGTATTTTACAAAGTACAAAGTAAAAAATATTTAACATTCGTTGGTTATTATTGTGTACTCTCATTTAATTTGTGATGTAAAACTTAGTATATTCTTATTATTCCTTTTCTAAAAACACATGTTCAAAAAATTAAGAACTTCAGTCTACATTGTTATAGTTGAACTTGATTAACAATTAAGTATTATATATTGTGAAACAATAGTGGTATGAGTATTTGCAACAAGCTGAGCAATTCAGACATTCATAAAAAAATTAAGAATCCTTGAAAAACATGAGTTCTCCTAAAGAGGCTTACTTAATGTGAATAAGCATGGAAACGTAACTCAAACTGGACATTTAAATTAAATTACTTGATCCAATGTGAAGAATAAGCATTCACAAAGCCTTAGCTTGGATAATGTATTAATTTATGTGCCAATTTTATTTATTTATACGGTAAAATACAAACAAATATTGTTAAAAATATTGAATTATATTGTAAAAAATAAAAATATCAATGAAAAACTCTTATCATAAATTAACTTGTATTCAGGTTAATTTAAAACTCCAACATGGTTATCCAGATCTAAGACACATAGAATGTAGTTTTTCCCGTCTGAACTACAAAACGAGATGGGTAAAATGAGGCGAAATAGTCTGTGTCAATCAATAATTACCTTTGGGTCATCATAAAATTATTTTTCTGACAAAATTAGCTATTTTTATCTAAGAATGTAGGAAAAGTTCTTGAACATCATTAATTTAAGTTTTTTTTTATTCTGGTGCTTTTTAATTAAATGTCAACTATTGATAATAAAACCAATATCCTACTGAACATTTGAAATTCCACAAATTATATTTTAAGTACAAGTTAAGTGTAATGTATCAACTAAAAAGAATGTAAATATCAATTATAAAAAGGATAACTATTTGAAAAAAAGTTAATACAAGTGCATGTATATTTCATTAAGAATCCCATAAATGTTGCTATTTAAAAAAACTTAAAACTTATTTTTGTGTATTTTCCTTTTTCCATAAATCCATCAAACAGGCATGAATGGGTAAAACGTGAAAACCATCAAGGTATGTGAGACATGAGGTTTGGATCAGATTTGGTAAAACTCTCATTAAACTCAGCAAGAGTATTCTGGTGAGTAAAGGGCTGTAATTAGAAATGCCGTGTGTTATTCTACTTAGAGATTGCGCCGTCTGATTGTTGTTGTATTCATTAGGATATGTTTCTCTTGCTGCCATTAATTATCGTGCTCAGCCTCCATCTGTTACGATCTGTTCTAATAAATCTCGCTCTGTAGTGTACAGCACAAGATGAAACGATCATGGTGTATCCCTTTATAATAGCATTATTGGTATATTTTCCCACATTGATTAATTTTTTCATTTTAATTTTTTTTAATATATTGCAAAAAAGTAAATGCGCTTACACGCTGGTAATTAATAAAGTATTGTGAAAATATTCAGCCGAGAAAGTATTATACTAACTTATCACCGGTATTATTTAGATGAAAAAGCCAACCATTTTACTTTAATGAGCGTTGCTATCGGACACTTTTTGGTAATTTCAATATTCCAGCTTGTATAATAATTACTATATACTTAACATTATTTATTAATTACATAATTCTTTTATTATATAACATATTTTTTCATGGGTTAACTGTAGGAAGACAGTCTGTTACTTTACTGTTCAGAAATATTTCTTACTTAGGATTTGTAAAGAAACAATAATTAAACTGGGTAAATTAAATAAAGAACGTTATTTCTTTTTTCATGTTTGCGTGTACAGGAAAAAAGTATGGATGAACAAACCCCTATTTGTTAAAACATTAATTCGCCGGAGACTGGTTTACCACTTTTCCACACGAGATATCAAGAGATAATCACTGTATAAATGAGTAAATCCTGGGTTAGGCGTATTTGTGGGGAGGGGGTGTGAGAGAGTGAGTGAGGGGTGGGAGAGAGACAAGGACAAGGATGAAGTGTGGGGGGGAATGGAGCAGTAGCAGCAATGTAGTGGGTCGCAGCTATTGATCCATGCGACACAGCCACATCGCGCCGAGCCACCGCCTCTATACACTCATCTCCATATTGTTTTTCTAATTTTTTTTTTTTCAAAATAGAAAAGGTATTGATTTATCAGAGAATCACATCGTGCTTGTATAAAGCCAGATCGTATTATGAATTCCGTAGATGTTAAGAGGATTATTCATGATTTTTTTTATTTATTAACATTTATAGGTTCCTAAATTTAATTTGTATATCTTACAACTTTTCCAAAACATTTTTCTTTTATTTTAATTTAATGCCTTAAACGATACTGAAGAACCATATTAAATCTATATAACGTGGTATTTTGAGTTAATCATTTGAAATTTAAATTATGATATTACTAGTTAGTATGTTGTCCTTTCCTTTGCTAATGCTGCATATGACATTAGATATATTGATGTTAGATTTTATGCAGTCATCGAAGCGGTTTTGTACACTATAGTGAAAATATCCGTATCATTATTTAGCCTACACTTGAAAAATATCCAACTACCTCTGTTGTTTTTACTTAGGTTGTCATACAATTAGTTATTACAGCGTTTGAGAATAAAAAAAATGTTTTTATTCTAGAGTAATAAAATTATACATTGGACTTGTATCTGCTAGACTAAATGTCCCGGAAGATATTTCGCAAATTTAACGAAGAAGAAGAAGTAATTTGCGGTCTCGTAAACAACTCAGCATGGTAAACTATAAGTGTGTGTTTGGTAAACTATATACCAACTACTAAATGTAGATTAAACAAATATCATATTCTGGACTATGTGTTCACTCCCTTTGTTTACTACCATCTTGGTTACATTGTATACGCTTCCATGGCTTTCACTCAATTGAAATGTTTTTCAGTTTCCATATTTTAGGAGCTGTACACATGAAATTTATAACGTATACGTGTTTGAAATTAACGTCGGTCCTAACAGCAAGAATAAAGTAAAAGTATACTAGATGCAGTATTGCCCAAGAGTAATTGAATAAATAATTTATTTATTACAATAGTGTTAAATAAGCAAGCCTGAAACACATTTGATGCTCACGTGTTGTAAAACAATTCCTTTAAAACAATTTATACATTTTGATAGAAAAATATATTTTGTCGTGGTAGGGGGGAATTAATGCTCAGTAGTCAGTAATCAAAACATATTCTCTAATCGTACAGATGATTTAATAATGCTTCAACAAAACTATGTGATCAAATTAGACTCCTCTAATTGTCATTTGTTAAGTCTAGTACAGAAAATGAAATTTTATTTCATTCTTTCATTTAACCATTATGTATTTTTATAAGAACACGTAAATCAGTGGCGCAAAGAAAAGTAAAATAATCTTATTCCTTATTGTAATAATTATAGAAAATGTATACAATATATATCCTGAATATCCTGAAGCTATTTTTGTTTTATTTATATTCAAAAGGTTAAGGTTTGGTTGAAAACTGTTTACGATATTAACTTTCTAAAAGGAGACTTCCTGCCTCCTACATTACAATCATCCGCCCACTAGTCCCCTGTAAACTACCAAGTGGGCCAAATATACCAAGAAATTGCTCTCGAACTTGTTATCAAATTACTCGATTGCTTTAATGTTTTACAACACCTATATCTTTATATTAATTGTTATATTTTATATAATTTTACATTATATTGAGCATTACTATTACAATATATTAAAATATATATAAATCTAATTGTTGCAATTTCAACAGCGTCGATAACAAAATTAAATATGATGTAAGTAAAAATTTATTGAAGCAAGTTGTTGCAACAAAACAACTAAAATATCATTTAACCTAAAGTATTTAAGAAAAATATTTACAACAAAATCAAATAATTGTTCCGCAGGTATATCCTGTATACAGGGTGATTGATATAAGTGTGCCAGCCGTTTTATTCGAAAACTATAAGAGATATAAAAAAAGTTAAATGGTAAGTGCCTTGGATTTTTTATTTAAAAAATTGTAGTCAAGTCAAAAAAAATATTTTAGCCGCCATTTTTCCAATATGGCCACCAACTTTGATTTTTCTTACGGAACACCCTGTAATTTATGATGTATTCTGGTAGAAAATGTAATTTTAAGACGATTTTATTCCTGCGATTATTTTCACAAACCTAACCGTTTCATAGATAATAATGGTTAAAGTTCTGAAATTTCTGCTTGAGAAAGAATTTCGATAAAGGCCTAAGAAAGCATGCCAGCTGTTTTATTCAAAATCCATTCTAAATTTCACAACTTAAACCATTATTATCTTTGAAACGGTTAGGTTTATGAAAAAGATCACAGGAATAAAATCGTCTTAAAATTACATTTTCTACCAGAATACATCATAAAATACAGGGTGTTCCGTAAGAAAAATCAAAGTTGGTGGCCATATTGGAAAAATGGTGGCTAAAATAATTTTTTTGACTTGACTACAATTTTTTAAATAAAAAATCCAAGGCACTTACCATTTAACTTTTTTTGATATCTCTTATGGTTTTCGAATAAAACGGCTGGCACACTTATATCAATCACCCTGTATATACAGGGTGTCCCGGAACTCTCTACCAATATTTTTGGGCATTGATCCTGGGTAACAAACGTAC